TGCTGTATCCCAAGCCTTGATATTCCATTTTGTAGTTTATTTACTTCTGTTCTCTAAGCTGTCTTCACTTCTGCCTTTTCAGATATGCATTACTGCTCCCCGTGTAACAACAAGACCTACTGGGCGCCCGTGAACAGCACCACGTGCTACAGAAAGACAGTCCATTTCCTTGGCTGGACGGACTGGTTTGCTATTTTCCTCCTCCTCCTCTCTGCTTTTGGGATTGTGTTGGTTTTGACAATTAGTGTGATTTTTACGAAAAATGTGAATACACCAGTTGTAAAGGCATCTGGAGGTTTAATCGTCTGCTATATTATTCTCTTCAGCCACTTATTAATTTTTTTAACCACTGTCTTCTTCATAGGTGAACCCACAGAATTCAAATGTAAAACTAGGCAAGCTGTCTTTGGCATAAGCTTTACACTCTGCGTTTCATGTATTTTAATAAAGTCACTAAAAATTTTACTAGCCTTCAGCTTTGATCCCAACCTACAGAATTTTCTGAAACGTGTATATCAACCTATTCCCATTGTGGTCACCTGCACTGGAATTCAAGTCATCATTTGCACTTTCTGGCTAATATTTAGGACCCCTTTTGTGAAACCAAATTTCTCAATTCCAAGAGCAATAATTCTGGAATGTAATGAGGGCTCTATTGTGGCTTTTGGGATTATGTTAGGCTATATAGCAGTTCTTGCTTTCATTTGCTTTATATTTGCCTTTAAAGGTAGGAAGCTCCCAGAGAACTACAATGAAGCTAAATTCATAACCTTTGGCATGCTGATTTACTTTATTGCATGGATTGTGTTTATCCCTGTCTATGCAACCACATTTGGCAAATACCTTTCAGCAGTGGAGATCATTGTTGTTTTAATATCCAACTATGGAATTCTCTGTTGTACTTTTCTTCCTAAGTGCTATATCGTAATTTGTAAGCAAGAAACAAACACAAAATCTGCCTTTCTCAAGATGATTTACACCTACTCTTCCAAGAGCGCCAGCAGTGTGGCTGTTAGTCAGATTTCTTTGGATTCAAAGTCTTCTGGCTCCCGAGCTACCGTCTCAGACTCATGTAAATCTGAGAAAACCTCTGCAAATGGAAACTGCCATTTTCAAGTCCCTGAGCAGAGACTAATAAAAGGGAAAGATCCTCCTGAAAGTACTGCAAGGTCCAGGAAAAGACTGTCCAGCATATGACCAGGTAGCCTTAAAACGCCCAAAGATAAATGAGGCATTTTAGTGAGCTGTGTCTCATTTAGATTTCCTTCCTTTTGATTTCCTCAAAGCAGGCCATGTGAAATACCATCCCCTGTGATGCTTTATATATATGTGTGTGTGTGTGTATATATATATATGCTTTGTATATATATATATATATATATTCATTACTAGATTTCAAAGGATTTCCTTGGCCACAGAGTCCAGCCCCTGCTCTCACAGGCACCACGTAGTACAACGCCGCTGAGCAGCCCCCTGATTTCTCCATCCTGACACAGGCTGGCTGCTCACGTAAACCTCCTGGAGCCTCTCCCAAAGCCTCACGTCTCTGTGCAAGGCAGAAGCATAGAAAAGCAAGCAACGTTCTTATTCCTCACAGCTATGAAGGCATGAGCTGTTTGTGCCCGCCTGTTGTGCCTTTGGTGCCAGGCTGTTTAAAGAGCTCGTCTTCTTAGGTGAATTTATCAAGGAAACTGGGCCCTCCCTTAGCTTCTGTTTGTTAAGCTAAACAAGCCCAGTCTTGTAGTCTCCACGTTTGAGATAGGCTCTCCACTCTCCCTATCATCCAAAAGTAAACCTTTGCTGCACTTCTTACAGGTGAATCCTTTTTTTTCTCCCTTTTTTTATTTCCAAAACATATACCCAGGATTGCATACCCTAGTCCAGATGAGCACCACAGCAACATTTAAAGCCCCTTCTGTTTACCAGGGTGATAATGAATGAAAGACACAGCTCTATATGAAAACTGAAGTGTTTCTCTGCAGCTCTGTGATTATAGGTACTTTCGTTCCATTTTTTTCCATATATGTGGAGAAAATTACAGCTCACACCCCGCTCCCTCTCTGGTGTGTGAGGAGATATACGGGCTATATAGCAGGAGACACCTGCTATATTTGTCCTGAAGTGTCTATAGTTTGAGGTAGCAAGCAATTTCTGCCACACTGGGTAATGTAAAAAAAATAATAGACCCTAACCATTTCCTTTCATTAGTATAAATAAGGTGATCACCAAGATCCGCATGACTATATCTGGGGAATTTTAGGAGTTTTTGATGCCTGTTAAAAAAAAAATCTGATTTTCAACCAGAAGATGTTAGTGCGTCATTCCAATACACAGGAATAACACGAGCAGTAGCTGGTATTAGCTACAGCGCGTGCGTGTGCCTGCAGCCGTGTACACATATGTATGCACTGGGGGCAGCGTGTGTGTTCGGAGCAGGAAGGACACGTAGGCACCTCTCTGCATCAACGGCGACCGCCTCCTCCTCCTGCAAAGGCCGCGTCACCCCCGCGGTTCTGCCCCTGGGTCGGGCCAGTTTCCCGGGACCCGAACGGCAGCACCGGGCTCTCCTGGGCGGCCCCAGCCCCGCGCCGAGGAGCTCTGCTCCCTCCGTGCCGCCGGTCGCAGGAGCACCGGCACCGTGCGCTGCTGTTGTACCTTGAGTGGCAGGCCAGTGTGGGAAATATGCTCATCTCAATCAACTTCAGTAACTGCAGCATTATACAGGCATCTTGTATTATTAATATTATTATTATTATGTACATTATATCTATTTTTCTATCATTTATATTTATATGTTGTTTTCATCCATATATATATGGCTTTTCTACTCAGATTTTAGTAGAAATAGCTGTAGATTGCATTTCCACAATGGACACAAGCCATAAAATTACTTTGACATGTAAACATATATATTTATATATATAGTATGTAAGTATGTGTCTGTGAAAGAAAATTTTAAAAGTAATTCAAATGGCTAGGCCATGATTTATATTCTGATTTGTGTAATTATTTAATTTTTATAGATGATTTGAGGAACGAAGGCTTATGCACCAAACACTGTTCATGTATCAGTTGTTACTGTTTAGAATATGCGCTAGTACGTATTGAAAGGTTACAATTCCTGGAATTTGTCTGCCAAAGCAGCAAAAATAAGTCTCCTGGAAAGAGAAAAAGCAAGGCCTACACCGTGCAATGACTTTCAGCACTAAGCTGTTTAGCACAATCAATTTGGCTAGAATATTATATCTGTATTTGTTAAGTACCCTGTCAGAACTGTTTAGTATCCTGTGTCTTGAACATATAAGGAAAGGGTATGATTAAAGCAATGATGTTATTTAAAATTGAATTTGTTTACTTAATTTCCTTATCTCTCCCTATGAAATTTGATTTGGTGTTATATAACAGCAGTACATGCTGTTTCCACCCAGTAAATGTCCGTGCTTCTTACTAGGAAATGTCATTTACATTGAAAGCTGAATGTGATAAGCAATCGTTGATCTATAGGTCAGTAAGGAACAGCAGCGATGACAGTAATGGGAAGGTAGGCAGGTAAAGGTGATCTTTGAGGAAAGACATAACGTATGGCTTCATTTTAAGGGGGGAGCATGAATGAGTGATCTGCTTTCTTACTGTGATGAGAGAGTTGTCACAACATCACAGATGCTTGCACCCAGCTTGACACTTTTGATATTTACCCCCAAATGCTGTGATGTTCACAGAGAAGCCAAGCATGAGATTTCTTTTTCTTTTTCTTTTGAGGTCAACGGGAGGCTTTTCCAGATGTAAAGCTATTGAATCTATTGTAGATTTATTTCGCTCCTTGTAGTAATACCAAATGACTTCAATGGAAGGTGACATCCAGCAGTAGAGAGTGTCTCTAGAAAGAGTGAAAACTGTGAAAGTCACCATTTGTTTCAAGTCATCTCCTCCAGGTTGGTTCCTCAAGATTCAGGGGCTCTCACTGCTCAGGCATCTTTCATGCAGCTTCAGAGCAGCTCTGCTCCACACTCCTTGACATGCAGGGGACCATTCACCTGAGCTCCCGGCTTCCTCCGCGTGGTCCTGCTGGCTGCAGTGTTGAGGAGTGCAACACACTGCCAGAGCTGGGCCATGGCTCCTCATCTACGGGGTACCCAAATCACTCGCAAATAGCAGCAGGATTTGGGATGCACCCTGGGCAGCCCAGCCCAAGCTGTGCTCCCTCTCCCTGGCCCTTCCAGCTGCATCTCCAACACAGAGAGACTTGGGAGGTCTCTGCTCAAGCAGGAAGAGCGAAGGCAGAAGGGCTGCAAGAGGACCAGAGCTCCTACTCTGTCCTCTGTGTTATTGCTCCTGGTGCTTCCGCTTCTCCGCACCCTCCCCAAAAAAACTGAAACAGGGCAGAACAGCTCTCTGCATGTGAAAATGGGAGCTTTATCTTTGGTTATTTTTAAACAGTCACCAGAAGCCAATGTGCAACTTTTATACAGATCTGAGATGGAACTTGATTTTTTCTATTTAGAGCATGTCTTATTTACAAAAAGATATATATATATATATACACACACACATATAGAGAGAGAAAGACAGAATGTGAGAGGACTTGAGCTTTTACTTGGCATGAATTAAGTGGATTGAGATGGCCTTGATGTACATTAATGGGACATTTTGATATTTTAATGATTTAAGAATGGAAACTGTACACGTGCAACTATGCAAACATCAACATAGGGCTTTCTATTCCATAGAGAATGCTTTATTGGAAATCTTGCCAGAATGAAATGTTGTCCAAACAGCACTAAAAAAAAAAATCAAGGAAGCAAACAATTACTGTGGTGAGACACTTCTGACTGTTTCCACTGGGGAATTTGCCTTCAGAAGGAGCCGCCTACCGCTGGCTCTGCCGCTGGAAGCAGCCGAGCGGGCGCCTTGGGGACGAACTCCCGAGACCTCCCATGCCTGCGCCCCCTGCGCCCCGCGGACCCCGCCGCGGTTACTGCCCTGCCGCCCCGCACTCTTCGGGCACCGGGTAACGGGGTGTTCTCTCCTTTTTCTCTCTGGTCTCAAGAAGAGCAGGCTCACAGGGTGGCCGCAAGCTACAAGCCGTCCAAGTTCGACAAAAAAATCCTCCTCTGGACCGGCCGCTTCAAGACGGAAGATGAGATTCCTCCGAGGATCCCGTGAGTACTGGGGCCGCTACCTCGGAGCAGTGGAGCTGAGGAGGTGCAGCGGTGTGCCCGGTATAAGGTGCTCTGATGGGTTTGAACCAGTCAGTGTTTATAACACTGGAAACTTGAGGGGGAAAAAATAGAGGGCAGAAGCATTTTCGGTAAAAAGCAGTGAGATGCAATTAATTTTCTTTCTCTTATTATAACTGTGCTTAGTGCTCACCTAGTGAGGATACTCTCTGATTTTGTGCATTATGCAGCCACTGAATAAAGGCAGAAGTAATTGTAGAAGTTGTCTCCAAGATCCAGGACTCAGGCTAGGACACCAAGTAATATGGTGCAGAATTACTTCTGGTGCAAGAAATGTGCGCAAAATTACTTTTGCATCCGTTGTCATTCCTGTGAATCCGCAGTTCTTTGCAGTGCAGCTTGAACATGGTGTTTGGGGATATTCCTCCCAGATTTAGCTGCAGTTTGATACTGGGAACTGAAGGCTGGGGCCAGGGGAAGGAAACGGGCTGTTAAAGGGTGATCCCAGGACATGCTACGTGCTCTGGTTTTTGGCATTTACCTGAATAGCTGTCCTGGATTTTCTGCTAAGCTTTCCTAGGGCAGAGAAATTAAAATAAACAAAAAAAAATCCAAAACAAATTTAAGGAAATGATTTCTGATAAAAATTAATGTTTCAAACGTGTCTTACGTTATGTTATTACATTACAGTAATGTGTGACATTGACCAGTGCTTAAATGTGCTGACCGAAATGCTGGTGGGTGACCCCTCTCAGCAAAGAGGCGCTGCTAATGAGCAGTGTTAGAGCCTGGTCCCCAGCAGAGGCACCAGCTCGGGCTTCTGAGCAGCTCCTGCTGCCTCTCCCCAATGGCCAGCACTCCCAGCTGCTAACTGCCCGCTCCTCCTGCTCCTTAGCATCCAAAGCCTCCTTGAATCGTGGCTTTGAGGCTCATGCAGGAGGCACAAGTGCCCTCTGTGCTCTGTATCACCAACTCCAGCACCGTGTCGGCTTCTCTGCTGCTTGTGCAGCATCAGGACCTGCTTTAAGGATGTTTAGGAAAAAGGTAGTGTTGCTGTAAAAACTGGAGGAACTTAAGTGGAGGCATGATAGCCGTTGCCACTGACTTAAACGCAGGAGAAAAGAACCTAGAAAGAAAGACAATTTCTAAAAATCTATGTTAACGTGGAAATTTAAGTATGTCTGTCCTGAAGTGTTTTCTGGGTTGTGTATTCTTCCTGCCTCTCTTTGTTACTTGAGGCATCTTTTGCTGATTCTGGATTAAGGATTTACTGCCATTCGCACAGCCTGAGAGTAAGAACTGGCTCCAGCTCAGCAGTTAGCCTCAGTTACATTTATAGGCTAAATGATTTATTTTACTTATTGCAAATATGTAATCAGAGAAGGACGTTATAAGTGAACAGCATTTTCCATTCATAGTGCATGTAAACAGCTCTAACGGAGCTGGCAGGCGCTGCGTGATTACAACAAACAAGTTGCAACTTACTGTAGGTTGTAGGAAACATAGAGGAAAAAATAGATGCAGAGGTTATGAGAGAATCATCACCCTCCCAAGGCAAATCCAAAGTAAATCAAATACTTGGCATGGTCTTAGCCTCCCGTTCTGGCTGATCCATTAGTTCCGCTGCTCCCCTCGCCTCGCTCCAAGTTCTTCTCCCCACGGGAGCTGCTGAGCACAGGAAGCCTGCACATTGCTTCTCGCTGCTTTGTTCTCCCTCCCGAATTCATAAATCATAATATATTAAAAGAAGACAATTTTGAATCATTGTAGCTGAAGGTTGTCATTACTTTAGCTATTAAAATACAACAGTAATAGCGGGATTCTGTTATCTGGGAACAAAATCTGTCTGCAGAAGGTACTTTGTACCCAGAGCCACAGCTGCAGCCCTTATTCAAGTTGTTATTGACTTCAGCAGAGTCTTAATGAGAGATTACTAATTGTCTTAACGCAAGATTAAAGGAAATCATAACAAGGTCTATTTTCTCTAAAGGCAGAGACAGAAAACAAGGAGAAAGTGGAAATCTGATTCAGTTAGTGCACTGTGAAATGTAATTGCATTAATAAGGTGGACTAATGAGATCTGCATTGTTTTCTTTTGCTGCTACAAACGGATTCCAGATTAGCGGCATCACGCACTAGTCCGTTGTACGGTTTGTTTCTGTAGCAGATAGCGCACTCACCCCTGCACAACCCAGAAGGGGTGACCTGCCCTGTGAGCCCCGAGAGCCCCCTGCAAGGAGGCCGGTGCTCAACAACCTTCCCAGGTGTGCGCGAGTTTGGGTGGGAAGAGCCCAGCAGATGCCTCTGAGACCGGCCCTTCTCTGGGGTCCTAGGCCTCCAGGGAGGAGCCCTGCAGCCCTCGGGCTCGCGTTTCAGGCTTCCTGCGTCAGAACTGCTGCTGTAAAAACTAAGATGCTCGAGGTCTTCTGCTCCAGCCTGGTTCTGCAAAGGTGAAGTTGCTTTGGGGGAAAAGACAGCAAATTGCAATAGAACTATCGATTCTTCATGTTGTGATGCATTTTAAATATAAACAAAGCATCCCAACATGTTTTAAGATTCAATAAATAAATTAATTAATTAAATAAAGGAAGATAGCTGCTTATGCACTCTTTTTTGATGTACTCAATGCCAGCAATGCAATGGACATTAAAAACAGCATTCCCAGAAAAAAAAAACACACTCAAAGATTCGCAAAAATTATAAGGAGATGGAGAATTTCTGCCCAACTAGTTCCTAGAAGCACTCAGCCTACTACCACTTTCTGAAACTTAAAATAAAAATAAGCTTCAAATAAGAGTTCTACAAATTGAGGCTGTGGGGTGTAAAGCATCTGTTACAGGACCGATAGCCTAATGAATGGTGGTCATTACTTTTTGCATTTAATGAGTATGAAAAAACATAATGTGGATTGTTCTTACTTATGTCTACCTTCCTCCAAGTAGTGAGGAAAAAGAACACTTTAAAATCAGAGATTAAAATCTGCTGCTTTAAAAGCAGCAGAGTTGCTGCTTTTCTAAAGGAGAGCTGACTAAAAATCAAGACAAAACACTAGTTGGCAGCAGTACAAACTCTTTTATTCACATACCAGAACATGTAAAATCCCTAACGTACTGTATACAGGGTATCATCCATGCATGTTAGATATAATGATTCATTTCAAAAGCTCATTTTGAAAGTTAACATCACATATACTCCTCCATCTGTTAAAAAGTACTATAATATTTAAATTTCACTAGACCTATAGAGTGTAAGGTAGGATTTCCAGTGTACTTGCCTGAAAATATTTGCACGCTTTATTGCTTGAGAGAGAGAAAAAAAAAAAAAAAGAAAAAAGATCAGCTTATATCCACCAAGGGGTGCTTTTCCACTAAAAGTGGATTAAGATCAGAAAATACAAAGTTCTTGACGGCACAGAAGCAGTCATTGCAGCAATCTGAAGATGCTGCGTGAGGAGCCAGTTTGACACTTGCTCTCCAGCTGCGACATTTCACCTGTGACAAGACACTTTGCACAGCTTCGTGACGGTTCACAACTTCATTTGCAGGCCGCAGATGCTGGACAAGGCACGGAACAAAGCTCGAGTCAAGGCGTGCTACATCATGATCGGCCTCTCCATCGTCGCCTGCTTCGCCGTGATCGCTTCGGCTAAGAAGGTGAGTATGGTGCCAACCAGTTAAGCTCCGACGCATTTTGCATCGAGAAGCGCACGGGAAGTCCGCGAGGACAAATCCCTGCTTACGGCTGCCGCGGCTTTGAGCAGCTCTCGCTGTTGCTGCCTCGAGCTGCGTCCGCCCTCCCCGGCCCTTGCTCTGACGCAGGTGTCCCCCGTCCGCAGGCCGCCGCGCGCCACGAGTCCCTGACCAGCTGGAACCTGGCCAAGAAGGCCAAGTGGCGGGAAGAGGCGGCGCTGGCAGCCCAGGCCAAGGGCAAGTAGCTTCGCCGGCAAGTCGGGATCTCGTGGTAGGTGCCACGCTGAGAGCTGCTACCCTGAAAAAGTAGCCAACTTCTGCTAAAGGGGCAACTCCAGCATCTCGCTGCTCTAATACTGCAGTGACACTGGAGCCAAGCACTGTAGGGTCAACATAGCCAAGATGTAGGGGCTCTCCTGTATGTGATAATACATGTAAATGGGCTGCACATGATTAAAATGAGTAATCAATTTCAAGAGATGAGGCAGTTTCCAGAGAACGTATGGCGTGGGGAGCCACACTTCTGCTACCTGCCCTAAAACCCATCCTTCCCATGCTTCACTGCGAGCTCCTTTCACGCAAACTAGTCAAGTTTTCCAATGAAAGGTGAAATTGTGCAAAGACCAAGGAGTGCTGAAGTGAAATTACTAAAATTGCAAAGATTACATGATTCACTGCTGCAGTTTTAAATAAAGAAGAAACAGTAACAAGCCAGAATATGTCAAGTCTTATCAGGAAAGATGTGGGGAACCAAGGGCAGTGGGAACGCACTGACAATCTTACAAATTCTCTTGTCTTTCTGAACTTCATGGGAATTTCCAAAGCAGCTGGGAGTCGTGTTTGTGGAGAGGGGCCTGTGACCATCAATAAGAGTCCTCCTTTGGCTAGGTAGTTGCAAAACTTACTTAAAATGAATACAAGAAGTTCTCTCTCTGGTGCTATGGGACAAAGTCCAAAAGTGCACAAGTCATCAAGGTTGAAGCCATCTCAATGTTGTATTTGAAATGGCGTTTTGTTTTCTGGTTTAAGAAACCACACTTACCAGACCACTAAATAAATACAAAAACGTGTGTAAAATAGGTTTTATTGGTTTCGGTACGATATTTGGAGTTGTAACATTCCATAATATTGCATACTACTCATATGTGTTTTGTTACAGTAATGGGCCTTTGGCCTGGATTTAAAGATGCACTATCATTATCTGAAGTTAATATAGGTATTTTGATTTCACAATATTACATGAAGATGTCGTGCTGTAAATAACTGAAGTTTCTCATTCCAGATTTCAGAACTCTGGAGGTCAGAGTTAAAACTTCACATAACTCACAGAGCTATTACAAAAACCGTCAGTCTTGCAATTTAAGAAATTTAAACCAGTTGAGAACGAACCATGGAGCAAAGACAATAGTGCATCTTTTCAGATGGGCAGACAGACCCAACAGTAAATATTTCCCAGTTGCAAACTTGTTCTATAGCTAATTTCTGTGCCAACATTATTACTATTTTCTGGTTGCTGCTAGCAACAGCCTTCAAAAGCAAATACTAGAAAATTAAAAAGCTGTATGAACCAGTCCTCAGATAAAAGTGCAATGTTGAAAAAAATTAGATATGATTCAGTGTATCGGATTAGGGAATTAAAAATAAAAAATAAATAAAAACAAAGGTAAGCTTTGCATAGTTGCATAGATTAACTAGTTATTATTCACATTTAAGCAAAAATAAATGGTACCCTCTTAAGGAAAGCCCCCCAAAGTGTACTTTTAAACGGTCATTGTATCTGGTAGGGCACCTCAGTATTTCCCATTTGATTTAAATGCCAAACCTGTGATCACTTCCCACCTTTCCTGCCAGCCCCAGTGGCTCCACCTGATCGGGAAGGACGACACCAGGGCTGACTGCAAGTCATCGTGCCCGGCTTCACCGTCGTCACTAATGCACATTGCACCAAGCCTGCTGTTAAGCCCAGTGCTAAACTAGGAAGGCCCATCCTGTTCATTTATCCTTTACAAATAGCTAGTAAAGCATTTTCATTCCTTTTTTAGAACAAAATTTAGGGTAAACCAAGTGCTGAGACTAAATAATGTTTTTCATTACTAAAGTGAGTCAATATCAGTTCCCTTTTAAACTATTATTTTCATGTATCAGAGACATGAAATAGAGTTAATCTAAATGCATAAAGTGCAGTCACTAACTGCTCAGACATACAGACTAATACATCCAAACTGAAGACATTCTTTCAAAACAAATATAATACTTTAAATGTCCCCTCTTCTCTCCATTTAAAGTCTTTCAATCAAGATTTTTATTGTATTTCTTATAGTTTATAGAACACTAGAGTTTATAGTCTTTTCATGAAGATTTGCTTAGAGAGGAGGCTTACAAATGCAGTGTTTACAGGGTCCTCCAAACAAAAAGCAGGCACAGATGGTTGTGGAATATTACCAGAACAAGTTTGTTAGAAGCAATGGCATACCCTGTTACCGGAATAATTTTCTTACACTCGAGGAACACTGAAATCCAGTATTTACTAGCAATCCTGGTGCATTTCCATGATCATTACCCTGTACATTGAGCAGATGGGGGGGTGGGGAGGAAGTCAGAATACAAAAACTAAAATTATAAGAGTAAAAAGGGCACAAATACAATCATCTAACATTATATGAAAATTTGGCAGCTGTACTCAGTATTATCACACTATTCAAAACTGCTGTATGCTGTACAAATCTAGGCTTAAAGTGTCATTTGCTAAAATATCTCATTATTCAGAGTTCATAAAGTAACAGCACTCCTATGTACACTTTTAACAGACCTCTAACTTCCAGTAAAAATTTCAGAAGAGGTTTCTTCCCTCCCAGTTACATCTTAGTCAAAACTGACCATTAATCTTTAAAAAAAAAAAAAAAAAAAAACACACTTCAAGTCCCACATTCAATTACAATATACTATGTATTGCTGTAGCAAAGTGAAACACCTTATGAATCTTAGCTTGCACATAAAAAAAAATTCTAAATATAAAATGGTACTATAAATGATATAATCTTTAACCTGTATTTCTCAGTGCATTAAAATATTACTTAGTAACAAGCACAGTGCCATGGGAAAAGTATTTTTAAGTTTAAATTGCAGCTTTTGTAAAGCATGAAATGCTCTCATGTCAAAGATCTCGCTTAACCCAGAAGTTTGGTGTTAATACATTAAATACAGTTAAAACTCATTTTAATTAACCCAAAGAATTGATTTCTCCAAATGAAACACACTACTAATATGCCAAAAACCACTACTAATATGCAAGTCCAAGCAGAGCATACATTTTCTGTATTTAAAATGGTTAATGTAAATATTAGAATACTATTTATCTTAGTGTTAACAGCAAACACTGTATTGTAGAACATAAATGCTTAGAAGACAATAACTTCCGTTAGTTTGGTGTCCACATACCTAATACTATTTACAGCACAACAAACTTTTCGTTCAACTGGAAAGGAGCGATTCTCTATCCATTTTTCACTGCAGCATTTCTACTGTATTACCAAGAGAAAATCAAGATAACTAAGTTAAAAATTCAAGTGGTGGTAACATATTTGGTCAAAAACATAACACCTACTGTCTAAACAAAACTACTGTTACTAGAAAGGCAAACACCGCAATATTTCTCAAACTAGAACAGTGTTACCATATGTTGACAGGAGATGGCTGTAAACTTGTATTTGCGACTGTGCAAATGGCCATCTCTCTGGTTCATCCTCACATCGTTCTTGTGGTAACTACAGCAACTGCTTCCACAGCAAAGTATTATATTTGTGGCTGACTTTTAATGCCATTTAGCAGCTTTAATTACAGAGCTAGCATCAAATGACCTGCAAGCTCTCTGCTGACTCCAATTTGAAAGCCTCTGAAATAGTCCTCTTCCTGTGTACATCAGAAAAAGCTTCTTCATATAGTTAATATTATATTACGCAATCAGTATTATATATCTATTATGTCTTTAAATATACTTTATAAATAAATTTCAACAGTGTGTGAAGTAACGCATAAAAGTTTTTACAATTTAAATAAATATTCTTCACATTCCAATTCAGCTTCTCACAAGCTTATCTTTATTTCATGCCTTAGTTCCGAAGCAATGTTTTTGCTTTGGTACAAGAGGTAGATTTGATAGAGACTGGGCAAGTCAAGCCTACTGCCAAAAATGCAACTGCCGGTAACGGTATTGCTGATGCGCAGTTTGAGACTACAGAAGAAATTCAGAACTTTTACTTAAAGCCCTATTGTGTCTTAGCTTAACAGTTCTTGTTAAATCACATTTAATGCTTTACTGAAGACATGATTACTCACAGTTGTTTTCTGTACATATGAGATAATGAAAAAAAGACAGATACAAAACAAAAATCAACAGTCGTATCTAACAAAATGTATAAAAGTGCATGAGCTGCTGCTTCATCTGTGAAAAAACATATTCAATTTTTTCTCTCGCTTTGGCCATAAAGAGATCTCTTAAAAACGAAAAACCTACAGGTGTTTACATTTTATGCTTGTCTTCACTTTTTTTTTTTTTTTTATAGTTGAAACCCCTCCATTGGAGCCTCCTGCTGTTGAAACACAAACTGCTGTTGACTTTCATCCACCTGAGGTGCAATACTGGAATCCTCTTCTTCAACACCAAAGTAATGTTCTATGAGTTCAAAAGCCTTTTGGTAGATCTCTTGGTTTTCATGTCTCTGAAGAAATTCAATTTTATCAAGTCCTAAATTAAAAACAAAGCTTTTTTCAATACCTAGTTGCTTCTGAAGACTCGCAGAATAATGAAACACATTGTAATATGAAAGCTTAGTAGTACTTCTTAAATTAAAAAACAAACAAACAAACAAAAAAACCCACAAGCCATCTGATTTCATTCACTACCACTGACCCCCACAAAAAAGGTTTTTTTCCCCTTCCTTCACTATTCAGAAATTAGTGTATTTTTTTGTTTTTCTGCACAAAGTGTTCCTAATTAAGACAGAATACTAAATTTTGTAACCAATGTATTTCCAGGCTGTAATTCTAAGGACTGTATGAAAAGGATATTAAGACAAGTAAACAGC